TTACTCGTGGGCGTAAACCCATTCCTGATCTGCTCCAGCAAACAGGGACTGGGATCTGGAGCATCCCAAGGTTGAACTAGTGGAAGATGGGGGGAAAAACGTGACCCTCAAGTCCTTGAAGACCAGGTCGCCCCCGTAACGCTCATCTTCTCTCTGTCCCCAGTGAGTTTGACGCTGGATCCCGAGACGGCGCATCCCCGGCTCGTCCTGTCCGAGGATCGGAAGCGTGTGAGATGGGAAGACACCCGCCAACCCGTACCGGATAACCCCAAGCGTTTCGACTCGTCTCGTTGCGTCCTGGGCCGCGAGGGTTTCAGCGCCGGGCGGCATTACTGGGAGGTGGAGGTGGGCAACGGGGAAGCCTGGGCCGTTGGGGTGGCCAAGGAGTCGGTGAGGAGGAAGGGACGGATCAGCGTCAACCCCAAGGTGGGGATCTGGGCGGTGGGGCAGTGCGGGAGCCAGTACCAAGCTCTCACCTCTCCCACCATCCCCATCTCCTTGGTCGCTGCCCCCAAAGTGATCGGGATCTACCTGGACTACGAGGCGGGGCGAGTGGCGTTCTTTGACTCCAACAACGAGGCGCCCATCTTCACCTATCCCCCGACATCCTTCGCGGGGGAGCGAATCCTCCCCCTGCTCTGCCTGGGGAGGGGGTGCCAGTTCATGCTCTCCCCTTGACCCCCCCCACGGGAGAGCATCCACTCGAGTCTCACTCACCGGGATCTGGGAAGACCACAGGGGCTCATCACCCCAGAGATGGCTTTTGGGAGGATGAGGAATGCCCTAATCCGGGATGGAAAATTCTCCTTTCTCCATCATTTGGAGATCACCTGCGCTCTTCGCTGGACCCTTTTTTCGGCTCATCGAGCTCTCAGCTGCGCGCCTGAGCGTAGACGCTGCGGACGACCACGCAAAAGCCTGGAGGACTATCTGATGACTTCACGATGACTTCATGATGACTTCACGTTTGATGGGGTCTCTGACAAGGTGGCGATCATCTGATCCAAGGGTGAGATAGGCCAGACCTGATCTGGTGGAAGGGTCCTTTAGATCATCAGAAGTACCTCCATCCTTGACGTGAGCTCCTGTTGGATCAGTGCTTAGTGCTGTGTGATGTCCACACCTTCAGACGTTGTCACGACTCACCTCTCCATGTGAAGCCACCCAGGCTCCGATCCCTCCAGGGTCGGTGGCCAACGGTGGCAAATTTTAATTTATTTTGTCTAGAAATGACGGGACAAGCGCGTGTAGGAGGATTTACTTCTCCCATTACAGCAGGAGCCCAGATTGATCAGATGGCGTGGAGACATCCTGTAGATGCCTAAAACCACGAGAAATAAACCCGTTCCCAAGCCGGAGTTGGCTTCAACGTCTTATTGGGCAGCGGCCTTGGGCTGAGCGGATTCGTTAGCCTTGGGCTAGTGAATATTTGGGGGTGTGAGGAGGAGCCCAGGAGGGAATGGGGACCTCTATGAGCCGCTGAGCAAAGTCTTCTGCCAGCGATAAGCGTTCCTACCTCATGCAGGTCAAAAAAATGCAAAATTCGGTCCTACTCGTGATGCAGCAGCGCGCGAAAAACTATCTACAGCGTCCCTGGTGGTCTAGTGGTTAGGATTCGGCGCTCTCACCGCCGCGGCCCGGGTTCGATTCCCGGTCAGGGAAGTTCGTTTTTTCCCCCCACTTCTCCTTTTATTTTTTAATTTTTTTTTTTTTTTTGAGAAAAGACTTTTCCTGGCAAGACGCCCGCCTAGAAACGTTCCTTATATCCTCTTCTTGTTCCTGTGTTTTCCTACGTGTGCACACCTGCCTCGGCAGGATGTCCCCTCCGATCCGTCGCAGCAGCCAGGCACCCACGAAGCCGCTTGGCAGCCCACCTTCACCTCTTGATTTAGCAATTTTTATTTTTTATTTCTTTATGGGTGTTAGTTTAGTATTTAGTTGAATATTTACGGGTGTTTAGTATTTAGAAAATTTATTTAATGTGAGAAGCGGTGGGAAGTTTTTATCCAAATCGCGCAAAAAACTAGGGAGAAATTGGAAACGCGGTACTTGCGAGGGGGGAAAAAATAGAAAGGAATAAAAAATTAACAATTATGACTCCGAAATGAAACAAAAAGGGGAAAACGAAGTGTTTCTGCCCGGTTTCGAACCGGGGACCTTTCGCGTGTGAGGCGAACGTGATAACCACTACACTACAGAAACTCTCCTGGTTGGACTTTTTTGCACCTTCTGCCCCTAAAGTCCTCCTCAAACCCATCTCCTTCGAGGGGCTCCTCCAAAACCCACCTTATTTTTTGGGGCCGTTGGGCTGATTTCAAGAAAACGAGCTGGTTTCACGCAGGAGCTCAGAGAAAAACCCTGAATTCAGCAAAAAAAAAGCGCCAGAATTTGGGAAAAGAGAAGCGAAACCGGTCTTTCTGCGTCTTTCCCACTTCATGGTGGGAGAAAAAAGCAATTTAATGAGTTTTTGCGGTGTAATCACGTAGTGCTGGAGTGGTTTTGGTCGAAGGGAGGGGCTCAAAGGGAAAAATGAGCTTTTTTTGAGCCCAAAAAGTAGAAAAAAAAATAAAAGGAACCTGTCAGGAGTGGGATTTGAACCCACGCCTCCACACGGAGACCAGAATTCCCAGTTTGGAGGAAGGTAAACCCTTGAGTCTGGCGCCTTAGACCACTCGGCCATCCTGACGGTGGCAAATTTGGGCCAGAAAACAGAATATAGTGATGCTAAAAATTAAGATTTTTTTTTTTTCGCTGTTTTAGGATTTTTTTTGCTGTTTTAGGATTTTTTTTCGCTGTTTTAGGATTTTTTTCGCTCTTTTAGGATTTTTTCCTTTTTCGGGGGGAGAGTTTTATGGTGATTATCAGCAGGGCAGCACTGGGAAGTCGGGAATTGTCCATAAATGAGAAAAAAAAAGGAATAATTAAGCGCCCAACGTGGGGCTCGAACCCACGACCCTGAGATTAAGAGTCTCATGCTCTACCGACTGAGCTAGCCGGGCTCCGAAAAACTAAGTTTTTCGCCCTTATTTTGGTGCGAAATTCTGGTGGTTTCAGCCTCTTTCTCTCCCATCCTCGGGCCCAGCAAAACACCAGTAAGAAACCAACACCCCAGCAACAAAAAATTGGGCAGAAGGCTGAAAAAATCTCCCCCTCGCCGCAAGTGCCGCGATGTGATTTTTTTTTGGCTTTTAGGCAAATTTAGGTGATTTTTGGTCCTGCAATGAAAAACGGGGAATGAGCCACTATGAAACGTTTCCCCTTCGGATTTTGTGTCAATTCCGTGGAAAATCTCTTTTCTTTTCTTTTCTTTTCTTTTCTTTTCTTTTCTTTTCTTTTCTTTTCTTTTCTTTTCTTTTCTTTTCTTTTCCTTTCCTTTCTTTTCTTTTCTTTCTTTTCCTCTTTTTTAATTTTCTTTTTTTCCTTTTCTTTTTTATTTTTTTTTATTTTCTTTTGTTGATTTTCTTTTTTTTTCCTTTTCTTTGGTTGTGGTACCAAAGGGGGGAGGGTTAAGGGTGGGGGAGGGGTGCAGGTGAGGGCAGAGGGAGCCCAAAAGGGGGTCGTGGGAGGTTTCTGTAGTGTAGTGGTTATCACGTTCGCCTCACACGCGAAAGGTCCCCGGTTCGAAACCGGGCAGAAACACCCCGGAAATATTTTCATTTTCCTTCATTTCCATGATTTTTGTGGTTCCATATTCCTTCAAATTCTGGAACAGCAGAAAAAAAAATAAAATCTAAATTTCTGACAAGAATGGCAGAAGGGGATTCGTTTTAATCCACGCATTAATATTTTCATGGGGGACACGGTGACAAATGGGCCAAGGAATTTAGAAATTCAGCTGAATTTTAGAAAAATTTACTTTCTTTTTCCCTGACCGGGAATCGACCCCGGGCCGCGGCGGTGAAAGCGCCGAATCCTGACCACTAGACCACCAGGGAGCCGATGTTTGCTGAAATTTTACCAATTTCATGTTTTTATCTCTGCATATTTAGTCTCCCCTCCCCTCTCCCCCAAAATTGCCTCCTCCCATCGGCTCGACCGGAGTGCTTTGCAGAATCTATCGCAAAAATAGCAAAAATTGATTAAAAATGACAAAAAAGAATTTTTAGCCGAATCCTGACCACTAGACCACCAGGGAGCCGATGTTTGCTGAAATTTTACCAATTTCATGTTTTTATCTCTGCATATTTAGTCTCCCCTCCCCTCTCCCCCAAAATTGCCTCCTCCCATCGGCTCGACCGGAGTGCTTTGCAGAATCTATCGCAAAAATAGCAAAAATTGATTAAAAATGACAAAAAAGAATTTTTAGAAAAATAGAAAAAATAATTCAAAACATTGTTTTTTCCCCAAAACAGCTCTCCCTGGTGGTCTAGTGGTCAGGATCCGGCGCTTTCACCGCCGTGGCCCGGGTTCGATTCCCGGTCAGGGAAAGTTTAAAAAAAATTCTTTCAAAAAAATTCTTTTAAAAATTATTATTTTTCCTCCTCGGGGGTCCCGCGGGATTTTTCCGTGTTGGCACCGGCCTTCTGCTCCCCCAGTAAACCCTCTTCTTCCTCGTACCCTGAGTGCAGACGGCTACAAAAAATGGCCATTTTCTTGTGCTAACGGCAAATTTGAGCAGAATTTCGGTAAAAAAGGAGCTGAGAGAAGGTGGAGGTGGAGACCCATCACAAGTGGGTCACCCTAAACATCTCCCATCGCGTTTCTGTAGTGTAGTGGTTATCACGTTCGCCTAACACGCGAAAGGTCCCTGGTTCGAAACCAGGCAGAAACATGCATTTTTGGGGCTTTTTGGGGTGTTTAAAGCATCTTCTCGATTTCTCACTCATTGACGGCCTCCAGCAAAACGTTGCTTCCAAATTCAGGGCAGGAGGGCTGGAAATCAAACGTCAACAAGGGATCTTCGACGCTGGAATTTTCTATTTCGTGATGCACACTTAAATATATCACTTTAAATATATATAAAATATACGTACGAACGCTGCGATCCTTGCAAAAAAAAATTAATATTTGGTGACGGAACTGATCCCTTTTCTTTCTCTTGGGGTTTATCTTGGAGGAGCCCATCCCCAAAATAAATTTTAGGATTAAACACCTGATCGGAGCATAAACGCGTTGTCTCCGGATGGGGCAGCAGAATCGAGTGGTTTAGTTTTGTTTTTTTTTTTGCGTTTTCCGGCAAAATGTGAGGCTGTTTCTGCAGAGTTTTGAGTGGAGGAGCTTTTGGGTGTGAGGCGAGTGTGGGACCAAAATGTGAGGTTGTTTCTGCATAGTTTTGAGTGGAGGAGCTTTTGGGTGTGGGATGGAGCGTGTTAACCCTTTGCGGGCAGCGGGGCAGCTCCGTGCTGCAGGGTGATGCTCCACGAGCTGGAGAGCACCAGGTAGTGAAAATGGGCTGAAACCAGGTGGTTTTGGGGTCTGGGCTGGGAGGAGCAATATGGGAGAGGGGTACGTTTCCCAGATGGATTTGGGGTGCTTTGGGAGCACCTGCTGAGGGAAACGGGGTTCGCCCTATTCCAGAAATGGTGCAAAACCCCAAATTCACCGTGTTTCTGTAGTGTAGTGGTTATCACGTTCGCCTCACACGCGAAAGGTCCCCGGTTCGAAACCGGGCAGAAACATCATTTTTTTATGTTTTTTCCCTCCTTATCCAGCAGATACTGAAGGAATTGCATCGTTCT